AGTGTTGATAAGGTTTAGGGTTTAGGGTTTAGGGTTTAGGGGTTCAGGGTTTAGGGGTTCAGGGTTTAGGGTTTAGGGTTTTAGGGTTTAGGGTTGAGGGTTTAGGGTTTAGGCTTTAGGGGTTTAGGGGGACCCCAATGGGTCCCCTTGTTGGGGCTATATTGAAAAATGGCCTTTTCTATTTTTAATCCTGATTGGGTGTTTTGCAAAAGCAAAAATGTACAACCTTAAAAATGGTCATTCATATTTTTTTTAATCCTTATTGGGTTATGGAAAAACAAAAACGTAAAATTGTAGCCAACAAGGACCCTGTCAAGGGACAGGACGGCTTCAATAGTCAAGTCCTTGTAGGGTTCCTGGAATGTCGGGGTCGGACTAAGGATTGGCAGGTCTTGGGGTATACAGCAGCATAGGGACAATCTGAACCCCCCAAAACTACCTGTGGCCCAAAAAACCCTACCTTTTTAGGCACTTGCATATAGAAACCATAATAGGGAACCCTCAAAGGGTAGTTTTTTTCGGCCACAGGTAGTATCAGTATTACTAGCTTTCAGGCTTCAATACTATCAACTTGCGGTACTGCATCACATGCAACTTCAGGAGAAGGGTGGACCTTCGCAAGAATGTTGCTGTTCGCAGCCATGAACTGATCTCCGCATGAAGAGCGCCTGACGTAAGGAAGTGCCGCTGGGAAGGAAGACTCGTCCGGGTTCTCTTCCGAGATGCTCACGCGCCACCGTCGCAGTTCCACAATCATTCAAGGCGGTCCGGCGCAACCCTAAACCCTAAACCCCCAAACCCTAAACCCCTAAACCCCTAAACTCCGACACCCTAATTCTAAACCCTAAACCCTGAACCCTAATCGTAGACTCTTTGTTGGCAGTTCCCTTCCTGCCCGGATTCAGATTCCAGGGTTCTAGGAAGGCCCCCCGCAACCGAGTCCGAATCCTAGGGGCCTCCAGCGGGAACGGCTAATGTAGGGGCCTTAAGAATTAGCATAAGATTTGGGGCTGTTCTATAAGGGCTACTATAAGGGTTTGGGTTATAGGGGCCTGAATAATCATAATAGGGTTTCGGGGTCCATTGAGCTATAATTCAAATAAGGAAACCCCCAAAATAGTATTGGTAATTATTTAGGCTCCTGTACTAAGAGGGTGATGTGCAAGCTTTGAAAGATCTTCGCCTAACGGGAACTTATGAGTGCTTTTAAGCGCTTTAGTATTGAAGTCTCCTAAAAAAAAGGCTTCCGGAAAGGCCCTTTTTACGGGCTTCTTTCATGAGGGCTAGAGGGTTTATAGGATTATTGGCCTAGGGTGTCAAATTTTGGGGTGAGGGCTTCTGGGATCTTAAGCCTTTGGGGTCTAGTGTTTAGGGGTTTAGGGTTTGGGGTCTACTGTTGATGGACCAAGGCTTGCATTTAGCTCAACACTCGAAACTGCAGATTTTCGTACCACTACCTGTCTTCGTCAAGACCCCAATGTAAGCCCAACTTCTGGATGTGATGTGCATGTTCATGGGAACATCAGTACCGAGAAAGTTGGTCATGGTAGCGATAGAGCCCTTACTCAGAGGCCCTAAAGTAGTTCCTTTTTGGGGTTCATATATAGAACCCCATAAGGAAACCCCAAAAAGGAACTACGTACTATGGGACCTATGGTATACAAACCCGTGAAGGAACCCTTGCAGACGCTAACTATGAAGCTGTTGAGCCCCAGCCCGACATCTGAAGCAGAGAATCCCAACCCGGGAGCCCGAAACTAGGGGCCTTATAATGATTAGAATAGTTTTCTCGGGCCTATTCTACTGTAATTGTAATAAGGAACCCCCAAAAATGGTATGGGTAATTGTTGAGGCCTTTGCATTAAACCGCAAGGCACGCAACGCACATCCTCAGAACTCACCCCAAGGCTACACCCTCCAATGCTAAAACCAACCCACAAAGCCCGATGCACTGCCGAACAAGATATCTTCATTCAGGAAGGACCTCGCGAGAATACCTCTGCTAGGAGGGCTTCTTGCGATGACTCAAGGAATTTTGCTGCATCTTGGAAGAGCGATTTCTTTCAAGCATAAAGTTGCCCTTTGAACAGGGGCATACTGACACGGCCAAACCTGCCTTCCTGCTAATCTACAAGTTTTTGGACTTCTAGCGAGGTGCCGTAAAGGATCAAGCCTTACCACCAACAAGGTATCCTACAGTGATATGGGTTAGGAACAGTGTTTAAGATACGGACGCGTTCAGAGGTCTCATTGTTTGGAATCCCTCAAGGGGTCTGGATGATAAAGAAACGTCTACCTCCAGCTCGGCAAGCAGACCAGCCCCGAAATCTGTGGCCTCTCGCTGTCGCCCTCCTCTTCGTCCTCATCCTGTGAAAGGCTGGTTTAGGTCTAGTTTAGGGGACAATCAGCAAGTAGAGTCTTGGATGAACTTGAATGCTGTCCTTAAGTGTATAGCCTGGCATGAAAACCACCGAAATATCACATCCTAAACTCCATACCGGACAGAAACTCCAAGCTCTACACCCTCAGCCCACAGCCCCCGAACTCTGAACTCTAAACTCCACCAGGCCCAAATCCTATGAGCCCTAAGTCCGGCTCTTCACCAGCCTTCCACCCAAAACTCTGAAAAATCTTGTAGGGTTTAGGGTGTAGGGTTTAAAGTTTAGAGTTTAGGGTTTAGAGTTTAGGGTTTAGGGTTTAGAGTCTAGGGTTTGTGAATCCTGGAAGACCCTGAAACTCCGAACCGGAGCCCGTGCGCAACCCTTGAAGGCTCTGGTGCACCTAAATGCTGCAGGGATGATGGCCATATGGGTAGTTCTCTAAATTAGGGGCCCGTTTTCGGTCCCGAATGGAGTACGGCACCCCTATAAAAAGAACTCTGACAGGGACCCTAATTTAGACAACTACCCAGATTGCTGCCACTTTTGACCCTCCAATCAGGAACCGGGACCCGTCACGGGGCCCGCCAGGGACCTGTCGGGGCCCTTTGAGGACACGGACCATCCCCAGAAACACGTAAGCGGGCCGAAAGGGTCCGACAGGTTTCGACCCGACGTGTCCCCGACAGGTCCATCCCTGACTGGCGGAAAAGAGGGTCGGGCGGGGTTTCCGGGAGGGCTGGAAAAAAGGGGTCGGGCCCAAGTCGGGATGCTGCCGTCAATTCCGTTAAATGCCTGTGTTGGCTGGGCTATTAATCTAATACATGATCAAAGTCTAAGTTATCACTTGTCACCTGGACTCTTCACGTGCCGAGCTGTCTGAAAACCCCAAATGATCACCCTTTGAATATCATCATGATCATCGAAATCATGCCACAGCAGTTGCCACGACATTCCTGGATTTAGACCTCACGTTCAGCAATTACACCCTGCTTTATGCCCTGACTTTGACATCTACAACCCCGTATCAGCCCAAACTGTATCCAGACGGCAGAGAGTAGTCTTAAGCATTCTAGGGCCTTGTCAACTTAAACTTAAACCTTAAAAAACCCAAGTAACCCTAAAACCCTGGAAGCTTTTCCTTTGGAAGCCCGAAGCCCGCATCCGGCCTTCAGCGACTTCACGGCCTCGGCACGGCTACTATACTAGGAGGCCCAGGGGACTTCGTAAGTCGGTTATAAGTAGGGTTGTACAGTATTTTGGGTGTAACCTAAACCCTAAACCCACTCGCTTTACCATTATTTTTACCTGCTTACTAAGTCTTCTGGGCTTCTAAGCCCATCCTTCTGAGAATGTAAAGCTCTTTCTAAGGGGGTTCCATAAAGGCCTATGGGGGTATATTCTGGTATATACTTATGTTAGGGAGGTCTGGGGAGCAATTTTGGGTAACTTTTTGGGCTTCTACACTAGTGCATGTTGCTTCGGCGAACCCATCGAATGAAACCGGTCTTAACTCATAGGCTCCATTGTAGTTCCCTTTTGGGGATCCTAATATGAACCACAGAATAGGAACTATTATGGAGCCTCTAGGAAGAGAACCAAACCACGGGGCGTGCGGATGTGAGGGTCACAGGTCTTCGGGTGAGGGTTTAGAGTTTAGGGTTTAGGGTTCAGGTCTTCGGGTGGCTTGTTTTCCTGGTTTTTGTTTTGGGGTCTGAGCGAGCTGGGTCTCGGACTTGTGCGCGCTTTTGGTGTGAATTATAAGGCTTGGGTAATGTGGGGGCCATAGTAAGCCATAGTAGTTCGAATAGGGCTTTGGGCCTTGTCATACTATAATTATAATAAGGACCCCCCCCCCCCAGCATGGTAGAGGTAATCATTTAGGCCTCTACGTATATTATTCGCGACTGTCCTGTGCCAGGCAAAACAACGCCTCGCGACGCTACAGGCCACAAGCTGCGTCCATGCTTGCGAGGGTCAAGCTACGACTTGCGCTTCGACCAGACAGCTCAGAGTTTTCCAACTCTGGCTTTGGTGTAGAGTCAATTTAGGGTTTAGGGTTTAGGGTTCAGGGTTCAGGGTTTAGGGTTCAGGGTTTAGGGTTCAGGGTTTAGGGGTTTAGGGTTTAGGGTTCAGGGTTTAGGGGTTTCGGGCTTCAAGGCTTGAGGTTGATCTCTAGTGTGTATAACCCTTACTGACAAAGGGGGGGGGGTCTATTCGCCAGTTGCCCGGCCCCGAAACTACAGAGCCCGGAGGCATAAAGGGAGGTGGCCCTGCCACCAGGGACGTAAAGCTTTCATCCTCAACACACCTCAGCCGGAAGCTGCAACCCAAGACCCTTCTAGAACCCTCCAAGATCCGACGAACCCTCTAAAGCCTAAGCCAGACCTGAAGAAACCCTACACGAGCCCACAGAAATCCCACACGAAGCCCTTTGAAAATCGAGCTGAAGCCCTCAACCTTGAACCCTAAAGCTCGAAAGCCCGAAACCCTAAAGCCCGAAAGCTCTAAATGACCCAAAACTCGAAATTCATTCGATGCCGGCCTTGGCCTGCCGGGACAAGGGAAGGATGTTGAGCTCGTCGTCGACCACCAGGCATCTGTTTGAGGGCTTCCGGGTTTAGGGTTTAGGGTTTTAGGCTTTCGGGTTTTAAGCTCTGGGGTTTCACGGGTTTTGGGGTGTTGGGGCTTGTAGCCTCAGGATTCAGAAGCTTCATTCTATTTCGGAGTTGACGGGTTTGAGGCAGAATACTTGGCGCTGAATTAGCATCTGATGCAAGGCTGTGGGGCTGTGGGTCAGGTGGTGATCACGGCATCTTTCGGTCTGGGGCCGAAGTTGTTTAAGGCGTGTTACGTTTAGGGTTGGGGGTTTAGGGTTTAGGGTTTAGGGTTTAGGGTTTGTTACGTTTAGGGTTGGGGGTTTGGGGGTTTAATCCTTAAACCCAAAACCCCAACTCGGGCTCGAGGAATCATACATAAAGCCTTCGGGGAATTTTGTCAATTCACAATCGAACCAAGCTGAGCCTAATGCCGCCTTCAGCACCGACAGTCATAGGACAACCCCCCCCCAATGTTTTCGAATAGGCTAATGGGGAGCAAAAGGGGGTAGTTATTAAAGACAATCCCATCCCTATCTTAGCTTCTTGAGTTGAGGGCTTGAACTGATTCGGTTGGCGTGGGTGGGTAAATGCTATTCCAACACCTGCTCAAATTCAAGACAATGCTAGTATCAAGCTGTGTCCCGCTCATGGCCATGACTCAGCCGAGAACATACTCAATAAATGCAAAGCAAGCTAGCACTCTGTGAGCATCATCGACCCCTTGAAAATGCGAACAGCAACAGCACCTTCGCTTGACACTCATGGAACGCAACACTTTATCATGACATGCCTAACCACTGTGACATGCAAGTGGGAGCGGTCTGGGCTGACAAATGGGCAGTGCGTCTTGGAAAAGTCCTCCACCGTGCCGGCCAAATTTCCCTCGCGCATGCGCGACAAGCGGTTCAGGGCTTGGCATGTAAGGATATGCTCTCCATGATCTGTCGCCGGGCGGCAGCTTGAAGCTGTCGGCTTGCATTTGCCTCTTTCCGATGTTTTTCAACCAGCCCTTTAACAGAAAGGGTAATGTAGGGACCTTAATAATTGGGAAAGAGTTTTTTTTGGGGGGTATACTATACTATACTTATATTAAGGAGCCACCAAAATCCTATTTCAGTTATTGAGGTCCCTTTACCAGCAGTCCCGAGGAGCGGTCAAGTCATGGGAGCCGGCTTAAGAAGAAGCTAATAATCAGGGTACCCCCCTTTTTTCCTACTGTTAGTCTTAATAAAGGAATCTGAAAGATAAAAAGGGCCAAAGGGTGCTAAAGGGGAACATGGCAACTCTTGTGAAAACCCTACCATAGGATCCCTCTACAAGCCAAGAGCCCCACATAGTTCATAGGGGTCTTAAGAATTTGTAATACGACTTTGTGGTACGTTGTACTAGAGCTTTTTCAGGACTACAAGGGGATCTACCATGACCCGTTGTTCTTATCCGTGCTATTGCCATCATTGCAAGTTTCACTTGTATGACCAACTGTATTGCGATGGTGATGACACTTATTCTTGTTACTCTTATCCTTATTCGCGATACGAACACGAATAACATTATCACTGTTTTATTCTTCTCTTCTTATTGCTATCAGGACCCTAAGACCTAAGCCCAGGACCCGAAGCCCCGAACCCTGAAACCAAAACCCAGGACCCCAAACCCCAAAACCCCCAACCACCTTACTACGCTACAATACCCCAAAGATCCCTGTAAAGGATCCGCTAAAAACCCTAAACCCTTCACTTCATAACTGAGCCCCTGGCGAAGAGCAGTCCTTCAGCGACAGGACCAAGCCTTGGAACGGAGTCAGAGGTAGGGACTTTTCGACTTAAGTCGAACTTCAAAGGGGCCTAAAGTAGGGTTGGCTTTGTACGGGTTTAGGGTTTAGGGGGTTTAGGGTTTCTGTGGGGTTTCAGAGGGCTGGAGTTGGGTTTGTTGCAAGGGGTGCTGAAGAGGGCTTTATTCCTGGAAATAACTTCGTATATACATTAGGCTACCTAAAATGTTACCATCTGTATATATATATATATACACATACAAGCTTATGGACACGTTAAGCTATTTATGTCTATTACACTAGACTCAGTAGAGAGGTTCTAAGTATGGGTACCATGAGGATGGCCCCCTAAAGCCCTGCCCCACCCGCGGTTCACCTGCTTGCTCAAGCCCCTACTCCTCAAACCCGGGGAACACGGACGGTTTAGGGTTTACGGGGGCACCCTTTAGAGTCAATCCTCAGGGTTTGTTGGGCTTTGAAGTTTAAGGAGAACAGATTGAGGATTCAAACATGAACCTCGGTTCATTCTTTGGGAATTCGGGTTGCTGCTGGGAGTTGGGGTGGAAGGTGTGGAGTTTAGGTCAGGATGTTAGGATTTGGGTCGACGGCTTAAGGTTGAGTAATTCCGTCAGGATATGCAGCATGAAGGATAACCCTACACCACAGGCCCGGAATGGAAAGCCTCCGTGATTTCTCAATGCCGAATGCCATTTCAGAAAGGCCCCCTCCCCATGCGCCGAATCGTGGAACGACGATCAGGTGCCCGGCGCTCGTTGAAGCGCGGCTCTGTGTCGATGTGTGTCTCGGTGCGCAGGTTGTGGTGCCTGACTCATTTCAAGGATGTCAGGATTTTGGGGTTTTGTAAGGTTTGCAGTTTGGTGAGAACCTACTCGCTCAGCCCCCCTGATCCTGAGTAAGGTTTCAGGGTTGAGATCCCGCATGCCCGCAGCTTCGAGGCATTGCAGGTTTTCGTCTCATGTACGATGTTAGTGTGGAGGCAAGGACGATTCTCTTAGGTGGAGCCTTTGGAGATGTCTTTGTCGATGCTGGGGCTTCTTTGGCCTGGGTTCTAAAGACTAAGCCCCAGGGGTACAAGAGCAAATCGGCACATAATATATATATATATATATTGCCTGCAAGCTATCCTGCAAGTACTGCTTTCCTATACCGAGGTACCTAATTACTGCGTACTTGGACCCCCTACACCCCAAGTCCTTTCAAGATTCCATGCCCTAAACCCTAAACCTGTGGAGTGCATAGTCAAATCAGGTCGAGGCATCACATATCAGCTTCCGTCTTCCTCAATGTTTTGGAGGGGTATAGGGTTTACCCATATGCCGTAAAGTAGTCCCTTTTGGGGTTCATATACAGAATCCTAAAAGGTAATCCCAAAAAGGAACTACTATGGGGCCTATGGGCAGGGTTTTTAGGGTTTAGGCGCTGCGGAAACTGTCAGTTCCCCTTGCAGACATATACTTTGAATTGCAGAGGGCTTCTTCTTCGACCAGGGCTCTTTAGCGCTCTGCAGGGGCCTTAAGGATCTTAGTTGACGCAACTAGCAAGTATTTGGGTTTAGGATTTAGGGTCTAAGGGCTGTTTTAGGGTTTGGGATTGGAGGGCTTAGGATAGCAAGCGTAGGTTCGGAGTCTCAAACTAAACGAGCTCCCACCTTCACAGAGAGCCATTTTACAAGGGTGCCGTACTATTTTGGGGACCTAAACAGAGGCCCTAATTTAGAGAACTACTGCTTTGAGTATCTTCTCGGGCTGGACGAGCCGTAAGTTCGTAAATCTGAACCGGGACGAATCCCCAGTGGAGTGCCCCTTTCCACGCGTAGCCCCGTGTGACCCAGTCCTGCCGTGAACATGAAGAAGCATGGTCCCGAAGTATTAGAAGAGGTTTTCGGGGGTTACACTCTTCGAAAACCCCAAGAGGAGCCCCAAGGAATAGTATAGGCTTCTCTACAAGCATAGTTTACCACAGCCAAAAACAAGAACTTTGAGGGAGTAGTATCGTCAATTCTTGAGTTTTCTAGATTGCCAGGACTTTAGAAACCTGATCCTTCTATTGGCTTTGTAGCTGTCCATGTCGAAGACCCCTGACCCCACAAGTAAACCCGAAACCCTAAAGTGTAGGGGCCTGAATAATTAGAATAGGTTTTTGGGGGTATGTTGTACTACAGTTACAAAAAGGAACCCCACAAACTAGTATAGGCAATTATTTAGG